CAGGGACTCACAGAAATGATCCCTCCTCCCCTCCTGCCGCCCACCCCCACCCCCCCCCCACACAAAACTGACTCACATCCCTGCAGCATATCAGAGACCTCATGGCTGTGTGGTTATTGATTGATATGGCAGAAGTCGCTGTTGTTGTTGAGTGATGCGGCACGAGTCATTGTTGTTGTTGTTCGTCGATGTGGCATGACAACGATGGTGACGAATTCAACATTGAAGAAAGAGAAAGAAGAGGAAAACTTAATATAAGTATAAGAAAAAGAAATGGACGGACAGATCCACCGTGCCGCGCCTGCAGCAGTAGGCAAGGCGTCCATCGAGCCGGGGGGCACCTGCGCCATCCTTTGCTCAATGGATGGCTGGCGATTGCTCTCCGGGCTGTTCTTTATTTTCCACTTAATTCCGTAATCCAAGGGCTGACATCATGCCACCAAAAAATATCCGCAAACTCCTTGGGCCTAGTCCCAGTTATTGGGATCGTCATCGTCTTCCTTCATTTTCTGGCCAAATGCATGAAGGAATCTTCTTTCATTTTTCTGGCCAAATGCAACTGTTAATCAGAACGTAATCTATGATCCGAAATGAAAAGAGCAAATAGGCATGCGCCGCTGCCGAAACGAAAAGAAAGAGCAAATAGGCATGTGCCGCTGCTGCCTGTAGATCAGACTTCTTCCTCACTTTTGCGCAATCCCAAATCGATACACACCAAATCTCCAAAATCTTTCTCCGTTGGTCCACCAGCACCCGTTCTTCTTTTTTTTTTCTTTTTTTTTCTTTTTTTGACCATTTCTCAATATAAGCATGTCATCCTCGGGCAGGGGCGAGTGTTCAGCTTCACTGCATCATTCCAGTTTTAAGTTTTAACAGATGTCCCAAAGGACATCCCAGACTTCTTCCTCACTTTTGCACGATCCCGAACCTACACACCAAAGCTTCAACATCTTTCTCCCTTGCTCCACCTGCACCAACATTTCTTCCTCACCTTTGCGCAATCCCAACTCCCTTGTTCCACCTGCACCCAGACTTCTTCCTCACTTTCGCGCGATCCAGAACATATACACCAGAACTCCGACGTCTTTCTCCCTTGGTTCATCTGCACCTTGCTCCATGATACCCTGGTTTCCGCTTTGATCCGTCGCATCACCCTGTCCTCAGGTTTTGGATCCGTCGGATAACCCTGACCTTCAGTCTTTGGTCCCATAGACCGCCCTCACCTCGGGTCTCTGGTCCGTTCAATCGCCCCAACCTCTGGTCTCTGGTCCGTTCAATCGCCCTGACCTCTGGTCTCTGTTCCGTTCAATCGTCCCGACCTCTGGCTTCTGATCCCTTGAGTCGCCCTGGTCCTGTCGGACCGCCCTGCGCTCCGCTCTCTTGTCCGGCGGACCATTGTCCCTGACATCTGGACTCTGGTCCAGTGGATCACCCTGAGCTCCGGTCTCTGAACCGCTGGATCACCCTGACCTGCGGTCTCTGTTCCTGTCGGATCGCCCTGCGCTTCGCTCTCCGGTCTGGCAGACCATTGTCCCTGACATCCGGACTCTGGTCCGGTGGATCACCCTGAGCTCCGGTCTCTGAACCGGTGGATCACCCTGACCTGAGGTCTCTGGTCCATTGGATTACCCGGACCTCCAGTCTCTGAACCGGTGGATCACCATGACGTCCGGTGCATGGTTCATTGGATCATTGTCCCTGGTCCACATTCACTGAACCTTCGCTCCAACATCTTCCTCCCTTATCTCCTTGGTCCATTGTACCCGGGTTTCTGTTCCTGGTCCATCGGATCGGGTCGCTCTGACCTCTGGTCTATGATCGCATCTGACCGCCCGTGTCAGAGGTCCATCGCATCTGGCCCCTTGTCCTGTCGGACCGCCCTGCGCTCCGCTCTCTGGTCCATCGGACCGGGTCGCTCTGACCTCTGGTCCACCAGCAAAGAGGATTGGATTGGACGTCTGAATCTGCTGGACACCTTTGTGGAAAGGTGCAGAAAATCGAGATTGAACTGCTGTTCTGCATCTCTGCTTAATCCAATCCTCTTTGCCAGTGGGACATCGCCCCAGTACTCTTATGCTCATCAATTCCAAGCTCGCGATGTTATCTTCTGTGAGACGTGGTGGTCTAACGCTAGATCTCTCGGAAATTTTTCGAACAAATTATGTGTGCGCGTAAAGACACGATCCTGTCGCACTTGCGAATTGCAAATTGAATAAAATAGTAAAATGATTTAAGGCATTTTAAATTTTAAAACAAAATATCCGAAAAAAAAGGATGGCTTGAAAAACACAGAGAAAGGAATCAAAAGATAACCGAGTCCATATGACCCAAAAGATCATTGGGAAAAGAAAGAAAAAGATAAAATGAGTCCACATGATCCTAAAAATCATGGCTTGGGCACTGGGCCCGTTTGTCAAAAAAAAAAAAAAAAAAAAAAAAAATCACGGCTTCCTCATTTAGCCAATTAGCACCCAATCATCCAAAAGTTCGCAGTCCAGAAAAGTTGGCACAGCGCCATCTTAACCCTTGGATTCTACGGCGCTAAAAAGCAGCACACCCATCAGATCCACAGCACTGACGACATTCGATCAACAGCTGAGATGAGTTTCCCGTTCCAATTTTGAGATTGAATGTGGTCACTTTACCATCCTACGGCCCAGATTGGAGGACCCGTCGATCCGACGCCCTCCAGGTATATCCATCCGACGATCCACAGCCCTGACATTCCATCCACGACTGACATGAGATTTGAGTTCGGACTCCGAAGTGGCCACATAACCATCCTGCAGCACAGATTGGAGGGCCCATCAATCGGACGCCTTCCAGATCCATGGGCAGCCCCCGAATACAAGGGGGAGGACCCGTCGATCCGACGCCCTCCAGGTCCATCCGATCCACAGCCCTGACATTTCATCCACGGCTGACATGAGATCAGGGTTCAAACTTGTTCCGATGCGGCCACTTTACCATCCAACGGCCCAGATTGGAACACCCGCCGATCTGATGCCCTCCAGATCCGTGGGCAGCCCGCCCCTGAATACAAGGGTGAGGTCCCGATCCGACGCCCTCCAGGTCCATCCGATGAGCTACAGCCCTGACATGAGACTCGAGTTCGAACTTCCAGTTCCAATGCGGCCATGTTACCATCCTACGGCCCAGATTGGAGGACCCGTGATCCAACGCCCCCCAGGTCCATGGGCAGCCCCTGGATACAAGGGTGCCACCGATCAACATCCCTACATTCCCCTCGCTTGTAGATATCGAAAGTCCGAGGAGGACCCCACATTTCCAATTCTTTTCCGCAATTACAGCGCCTGCAGCCCTCCAACCTGACACCCCCCCAATCATGCCACCACCAGATACAAGGTCCTGCAAATTTTCTTGCCTTCAGCTCCCTTTCTCCCACAGATCAAAGGTCCCATGACCCCGAAGATGCAATTCCCCCAGATCCAAGGGTCTGCACCCCTCCTCCTGCTATGGATCGATGGTCCTACGGCCACCAAAAGACAAGGCCCCACTGATTCCAAGGCAGCCTGCAATTTTAGATGCCTGCAGCCCCCTTTCTCCCACAGATCAAAGGTCCGATGACCCCCAAGATCCGATTCCCCCATATCCAAGGGTCTGCACCCCTCCTTCCGCCACGGATCAATGGTCCTACAGCCACCAAGATACGAATCCCCTCTGATTCCAATGCAGCTCCCCCCCCAAAAAAAGCACTTACCCCCCAACCCATCCCCCAAAGCACCTATCTCAAGACCCAGAGTAGCTCCCCAGATGCAAGGCGCTGGATTCTGTACGCCGCTGAGCACAATTCGATGCAAGCGTTCTACTTGACCATATTGTGTACATCATAGAAACTCTGCACCTCTGACAGACCCCATCCTGCCACTGGTTTTAGGCCCCTAATTTCCCTGCGTACCCCCCTACCCCCCATTCTGCCCTGGTTTTCGGCCATCGATTTCTCCCTACTTGCCCCGCATTCGCCGGACCTGAAGGGTTTTGACTTTGTGCAGCAAGCACCACCATGGATCCATGGTCCTACGGGCCCCAAGATCTCAGACCCCTCTGCTTCTAAGGCAGCCCCTTTGCCCCCCCATCCCCCTCCCCCAAAAGCACTTTCCCCAAGACCCAGGATAGCCCCCCAGATGCAAGGCCCTGGATTCTGTAGCGACATTTGATGGCCCGGAATAGCGAAACTTGATGCAATTGTTCTCGAACTGAGATGCCGTTCCAAGGCCCACGGTAGCAAAATTCGAGTTCTCCCACATCATACTGTGCACACCGCCAAACCTCTGCACCTTTGACAGACCCTATTCTGCCCCTGGTCTCGGGCCATCAATTTCCCTACATATCCCCTACTCCCCGTTCTGCCCCTGGTTTCGGGCCAGCCATTTTTCCCTACGTACCCCTTCATATCCCCCGTACCTGGCGGGTTTTGACATTGTGCAGCAAGCACTGCCAGTCTTGTAGCGCTATCCAAATACTTCAGCTGCAAAACCCCTAGAGTCTCGAATCATGCAAACGGCCAGTAATGGCCTTAAGAGTGCAATTACATCATTACACCCCTTCTAAAATATGTCAAGCCCCTTTACGGTACGAAAATAGGTGAGAAAAATAGACATTACACGAGAGTCGGCGCTTGAAACCTAGCTCTAAGGGCATACACAGACTCGGACTTCCTGGACGTATCTGAGCGCGAAACGACCCGAAATTCAGTTACGTTGGAAGTCAACTCTTCGCTGAAGTCTTGAAGAAGTGCTGGTGTGAACATGCCCTTAGGAAACCCTGCTATTGTCCGCCGGTTGCGTCGTATACTCTCGGAGAATTCAAATTTCAAAACATTTACGTCCTTTCTTCCAAAAAAAAAAAAAAGATTATTCAAAGACCGTACCTTGATCACAAATATTTTTCATACGTGGTAACGTAGCTATCCTCCCTCTCTCCCTCCTCCTAACAACTTTTTCACACCCATCAACTGCTCAGTTAAACTCAGAGTTTTTGTTAACCTCAAAGTTTTTGACTTTTTGTTAACTCAGAGTTTTTGTTATCTCAGAGTTTTTAACTTTTTGTTAACTCGAGAGTTTTCTGTTATCTCAGAGTTTTTACCTTTTTGTTAACTCGAGAGTTTTCTGTTATCTCAGAGTTTTTAACTTTTTGTTAACTCAGAGTTTTTGTTAACTAAGAGTTTTGGCTAACTTAAGAGTTCTTGTTAACTCAGAGTTTTTGTTAACTCAGAGAGTTTTTGTTAACTCAGAGTTTTTGTTAACTCAGAGTTTTTTGTTAACTCAGAGTTAGACTTCGATAGAATAGAACACATGAACGATCTCGCCACAAACCGGAAGAATGAGGAAAGCTAACCTTCGTGCCTCGGTACACTTCTCTGTACATGATAAACTTCACCCTATCATCGACATCGATTTCTGCAAAATGATTTGGTACACTTGGCGAATGCCCCGCCTCGTTCCGTGACGTTCCGTGAAAGTTCCGTGAAAGTTCCGTGAAAGTTCCGTGAATTCCGTGAAGTCCCGTGAAGTCCCGTGAAGTCCCGTGAAGTTTCGTGACGTTCCATGACATTCCTTGAAGCTCCTAACTCCTTTGCCCTATTATCCAGGTTTCAGCAAAATGACTTGATAGACTTGGAGAATAGCACGCCTCTTTGCAGAACCTCTGTCGCTACCTCCTCCTCCTCTTCCTCATCATTCTCTTTTCAGTGTTTTCACTCGTGTTCTCCTCCTCCTGTCCTCTGTCGCCACCCTACTTTCCCAGTCCTCTCTCCTTTCTACTTTTATTCTCAGGTTTGCCTCCTGCTGCTGTTCCTTCTATTCGTCTTGTTGTTCTCCTCAGCCTCCTCCTACCCCCTCCACCTTTGTCTCCTCCTCTCCCGCCTCCACGTCCTGATCTTTCTACTCCTCTTGTTCCACTACTTCCTCCTCCTCCTCTTCCTCATCATTCTCTTTTCAATCATGTTTTCCTCCTCCCTGCCCTGCCACCACCCTCCTTTTCCACTCCTCCTCTCTCCTTTCTACTTTTATTCTCTGGTTTGCCTCCTCCTGCTGTTCCTTCTATTCGTCTTGTTCTTCTCCTCCTCCTCCTCCCCCCCCCCACCTTTGTCTCCTCCTCCCCCGCCTCCACATCCTGTTCTTTCTACTCCTCTTGTTCCACAACACCCTCCTCCTTCCCCTTTCTACTCTCTCCTCTTCGTCCTCTTCCTCTCCTCCTTCGCCTTTCTACTCTCTCTCCTCTTCGTCCTCTTCCTCTTCTCTCTTCTATACCTCCTCCTCCTCCTGCTTCTCCTCCCTATTCCTCCTGTCCTTCTCCTTGTCCTCCAGATAGATAGTTCAGACAGATTCAACGCAATCGAATGCTGACAAAAGGATGAGATACACCATCCAACGGGCAAATTTTGACCTTGCTAGATGCATGCAGATGATGCCCAAGAACCTGACCAATGCTGGAGGACAATTCTTCCCATCAGAACCGAATACTCCCAGAAACTTCGAAACTCAGAGCTGTTGGGCGCATTTTGGGATGACCCCTCCGAAGGTAGAGGCAACCCCATCAATTTCCTGTGTCCCGAGACGTCCACACGGCCCTATCGGATTTCCACTTTCCAAGATGCGCATAGAATGGAAACAGCACGGTTGGATGGACATGTGCGGAGAATTGAAGCATTCCACATTTAGGTTTGGTGCGCACCAGAAAGTTCAAAGCGGAACCAAAAAAAAACTGCTCGCTGCATCGGAGGGTTGCGTCAGAAGATCGAGACGATCCCGTCGTGAATGCGCGATTTCTGATCCTGCGCTACACATTCGGAAATCCACATCAAGTTGCGGATCTCCTGCTCTCGCAGTCGCACGTATGCGAAAAACACAGCGTAGTGAAATTGCTGCTCAAAGCTGAGGGAAAGACGCTTCGCCTCCTCCTGGTAAAACACCTTGTCAAGGAGCTGGTTCTCACCGTAGCCAAGTCTTGAGAAGATGAGATGATACGGCTGGTACTTCTCTGCAGCCGTGCGAACTTCATCGAAATCGGTGCACACTGCTAGTCCCTCGTGACCGTAAGGGTACAGAAAGCCAAAGTGCGAGTACAGCCTTTTGCGATCGTCTCTCGTCAATTCCGTTCCGATGCTGTTGATCGTGATGTTGATCGCATGCCGATCCGCTTCGAAGCTGAGCAATTCGCACATGATCGTTGCTGTCGCACCGCCTAGCCTTTGGCAAAACTTGTAGAAGTCCTCCAGGTACGCTTTGTACAGCGTGTTGCGCATGATCTCTATGTTCATATCGTCAAGATCGTCGGACGTGATGCAATCCGCAAAGTACGGCGCGATCGGCGTGTCAATCAAGACAAGACGGTAAAGTTCCCTCATGTTCTGCGCAACCGCCAGCGTGGCGATGCTGTCGAAGAGGCCGAGCGGGTGACATTTGTCTAGCAATTCTTGCGTATCGCGCTCGTGCAACGTACCTGTAACGATCAGGACGATGTTGTCGATCATATGACCGTACGTTATGTAGTCCAGGAAAGTTGATAAGGGATACATAGCCTGACACCGCAAGTACTTGTATTGGGAGACCAACTTCTCAGTACACTTCTCCACAATGGTGGTCGTGCGAAGAGGAGACGGCTCGTTCTCCAGGAAATTTCCATAATCAGTGCCTGAAAGATGGAGTTTGATGTCATCGAGCGTTTCGCACTGGCAAAGATTGTGATAATCTGCTCCTGTGAGCAGACCTGAACGATACCCCCGGACGACTGCCTCTAAGAACCCATCATTGATGTTGAACGTCAGCGACTCGAACCCGTACATATTGAAAGCCACCAGAAAACTGCAGTTGCTTGAGTACAAAACAAATGTGGGGTGCTGCCTCCAGCAAGCACTTTCGGAGGCTGCGCGCCCACTTCGTGTCCTTGGCCTTGATCGAGTGTGCGCCGAAACCAATCAGCTCCAACCGCCCCCCGTTGTTGACAAAAAGAACAACCCTTCAGAATAAAATTGGTAATTACAGTTGTTGCCACCTAAAAACAGCCGTTAAACGCCGCCACCTTCCCCCCCCACCCCGAACCAAAAAAATGCTGTTGACGATAACATACGAACGGGCCCTCAAAATTGTGTTGTAGTCCGTCTTCCCGTATGTTGTTGTTGTCAACAAAAAGGGCCCAGGAAAGCAAAAAATTGTGCAGCGATGTCAGCTTTTGTTTCCTACTTCTCCTACCCTGGCTCCCCTTCTACGGCCGAAGTCTAAGCACACAGTCACCAGCTCCTCCCTATCGCCGAGCCTAAGCACATAGCCACCGCACACAAACAATCGGTCTCCGGAATCCGCGACGAGCTCCGAGCGGCAGTGCCGAAAAAGCTTCTACGTGCTCGCAGCAATCACAGCTTAGCTATTGAAAGAACAAAAAAAAAAAAGAAGATGGAAATGGAAAACATGTGGCAGTGCCCCCTCCCTCCCTCTCCATGCATACTTACCACAAGCTTGTGCAATCTGCCAGCCTGCCACTGTCCGCTCCTCTCTCTCTCTCTCTCTCTCTCTCTCTCTCTCTCTGTGTACCTAAGCTCGGCAACGACAATGTCCTTGTCAAACTCAACCCCTGCAACTGCTTAAAACTTACCAAATGACCAGTTTCAGCAGGGGCTCAGATCCCCCCCCGAGTCATTTCATAAGTTCCGTGCGGCCCAATTCAACTGTGTGTACAATAATTTTGACTTCCGTACGTGTGTCATGAGAGAAATTGTGTGATATTTTTTTGGTTTTACGGCAGGATGCTGAATTTGGTGTTTTTTTAGCATCAATTACAATTGACCTTATCAGTGTTCAAGACCAAAAAAAAAGAAAAAAAAAGGGCCCCTAAGTCAAATTCCATGAAATACTACGTACAAAAGACAAAATTTATATACACGTGCAATCAAACTCGTACGCAAGTGATGTCCGTGTAATCGAATCTGTGCGTAAGATTGYCGTATGCCGTAGCAGYTGTACCTGTCTTACGGTTACTCCATCCCTGAGAATTTGAATTCATGATGCTCTGTGTACTGATAGTTACAGGCATGAAGCGATGAACCATGTCTGTGCGTGTGCAATCAGACYTGTGTGCAAGCATCATCATCAGCACAATTGCGCAGGCATGAAGCGATGAACCATGTCTCTGTGTGTGCAATCAGACTTGTGTGCAAGCATCATCATCATCAGCGCAAGTGCGCTGTAGTGGTGACTGTGCCACACGTGCAAGCATTGTTGTACGTGCCGCCCTGAGGATTTGAACTGATGATCTGTCCGTTTGCCAGCAGTTACACGCATGTGTACCGTTCAGCCAACCCGCAGGTACACACTGCACCAAACTGCCCTGCTGCTCCTACCCAGACCAAGCTCCACGTGCACACTTCAGGCAGCAATTCAAACACACTAGCCCAGATGACATCGAACGGACATGCTGCTCCTCACCAGACCAAACTCCACGTGCACACTTGAGACAACAAATTGGCCAAACTAGCCCAGAACGCATCATGAAGCGATATACAGTCAGGGCCCTTACTACCCAACGCATCCTACCCAAACCTAACTCCGCGTGCACACTTCGGGCAGCACGTCGGCCAAACTAATTCAGTTGACATCATCATAAAATAAGGGCAAGAAGAGATCACCGTCATATCCACACATTCGACTTTGCAACAGGTTTCACAGCAGGTTTGGCCACACCCAGATAGCAGGAGATTTGCCCCCACCTGGCACCAGCAGATTCGGGCCCCACCCGGGCCACCTCGCACGAGCAGATTCGTCCCCACCTGGCATCAGCGGATTTGGCCCCACCTGGTATCAGTAGTAGATGTGTCCGCTGTTACCTCACAATAGCCACACCCTTATCAAACCTGATACCAGAAACTCACTTTATCGAGTGCGCGATGAGCAGATAACTGGTCTTCAGCTCCCAAACTGACGGCCACCAATCTATCCATCCAATCTGGATGCGAAGCTGGTGCTTTATCGCCTCTGCCTGCGGAAACGATATCATCACAATATTTAACATCTCCACGTCAGTTAAATTTAGCACAACCATCACAGTGTTTTCTTTTCCTTTTTTCTCCGTTCTCGATTTGTTCGTCCTCCTTGGATTAGCAAGTGCCATCCTCTTGTGTCAGTAACATTCTCTTCTCTAAGTTTCCTTCTCTTCTCTTCTCTTCTCTTCTCTCTGTATCGTTCCAGTTTCCGCCGACATCGTGGAGGATGTGCGACACCCCTTGGTCACCCCAGCGGATGTGCAACCCCTCGGTAAATCCCCAGGAGGATGTGCGACTCTTTTGGTCAACCCCACCAGAGGATGTGCGACCCCTTCGTCGACCCATCAAGATGATCTGCGACCCCTAAGTCAACCCCCTCCAGAGGATGTGCCACCCCTTAGTCAACCCTCTCCAGAGGATGTGCGACCCCCTCCAGAGGATGTGCCACCCCTAA